CTGTTCTAGGTGAGAATATTAAAACAGAAAGCAAGACACAAGCCTTGCTCTCACAGCTTATATTCTGAGGGTGGAGGGCAGAACAAAGAAACAGCAAAAACAACAAACGAGGTAATTTCAGATCGTGATTCATGAAGAAATACCACGGTGGGGCTGCTCATGGGAACCGTCTTAAGAGATAATATTTTGGATTTGTTCCTAGCCAATGCACCAAAAGCTGGAAAAAACAATAAACACAAAAAAGAGATGACATTTTTGTGGAGTCTGGAATCATCCAAAGGAGGCTGATGCAGGAAAATCTGGAGGCAGGCTGTGCAGATGGGACAAAGGAGAGACTGGAGGGCTCCAACAGCGTGTAAGAGACTGAATGAGATAACATAAGCTAGAGACAAGTAAAGGCTATGGGAACTTTCAGTGTACGACCAATACGTGCCAGCATCTGTGCTGGGCACTCAGCATTCAGTAATATGATAAATACAATCTACATGCGCAAGCCTCTCACTATCTAGAAGACAACAGAGGGATAATTTTTCAGCTGATGAAAATAGAGCATCCAATCACAAATTGAGAATTAATTCTTACTCATAGTTTTGCAAATGTGCCCTGTGGGCGCAGTGATTTTGACATAGTTGATTACAGAGATGCCTGGGTTAGGCTACCGGGTTACTTTTGTCTTTGTAATCTCTATTGGTTCACGCCTCCTCCGGGCGCTAGGGAGCGCTGTAACCTCCCTCAACTGAGTGGTGCTACGCTCTTCCCTACTTCCCTTTTCGCTGCTCAGCACTTCCGGTATCTAGCGGAAGCAGGGGCCGGGAGCCGCGGGCGCCGGGGTCCCAAGGCATGGCGGGGGCGGGGCCGGGGGAGGTGCGCATGGAATAGGCTGGGGTGTCCCTCGCCCCGGCCCCTTGAGCCTGGACCTGACAGGTGAGGACCTATCCTTTTTGGCCCGGCCTCCAAGCCGGTCAGACGCTGCCTGAGAGGCTCCTCCCCGCATGACAGCCAGGCCCGCGATCCCCCGCCATCCCTCACTATGCTCTTCCCATTGAGGCCCCGCCCCAGGCTTTTCTTTCCGGGGGCGCCCCCTTGGGCGTGTATGTCCGCCCCTTGGCATCCTTTACTCTTTCTAGAAGCCATCGCAAGGAATTGAGGGATAGGTGCACCTTCTCCCATGGGGAACTAGATACCTAGGAAGATGAGAGAACAGTGAGTTAGTGGCCCAATTCAGCCAGGCTTTCTTACTTCTTCCATTCCACAGGGGACTGAGACGCCTACTATGTGGCAGCTCCAGTGCTGGGATCTGAGAATACTGAGGTGAACAAAGTAGCCATAGTTATTTCCTGTAAGGAGTGTACAGTTTAGCAGGGGTATCAAACATTAAACACAACCATGCAAGTGAAAGTATAAACACAAATTGTAACATTTACTAGAGAGGAGACAAACAATGGCAGGTTTGGATTTAGAGAGAGGGCATGGAAGCATTCCTGAAGGAAATGACACTTCAGTTGCAATTTGAGAAGTGATGACATGAGCTAGGGGGAATGCATTTGTGGATCCCGGATTCAGGCCCAGTGTTTAAGAACCAGGTGCTTGCTGTGTGTCAAAACCCTGCTGAGCATATGGAATATAATGTTTGTGTGCTGGATCCCCGGAGCTCTTCACTGGCACGTGAAGGCCACAGAGGCAGAGTTGCACACACAACAACAGATGAAGGAGAGGTGTGACTAGTATACTGGGATTTTATTTTATGGAGAAGTGAAGGAAGGTTCCCCTGATGAAGTGATTCAACTGATAGGTGAAATAGGGGTTAGCAAAGCCAGGAGAAGAACTTCTGTAAAGGGCCGGATGGGAAATATTTTAGGCAGTGGGCCTTGTGGTTTTGGCCTCACCTACTCATTTCTCCCTTTATAGGGCAAAAGCAGGTGTAAGCAGTATGTAAACGAATGGGTTTGGCTGTGTTCATATGAAATTATTTACAGAAACAAAGAGGCAGAGCAGGGCTCTGGCACACACATAGAATCACAAGTTTGAGGCCAGCCTGGGTAACATAGTGAGATCCTCAACTCTAGTAAACAGGGAGGTGGGCTAGATTTGGCCTGAACGTAGTAGCTTAGAAGGGATTGACCACTGAGCTACATTCTCTCCCCCCATTGTGGTTTTGATTTACATTTCTGTGATGATTATCCTGTCATTTGCATTTTTGGCCATTTGTGCGTCTGTGGAGAAATGTGTGTTCAAGTACTTGGCTAGTTTTAAATTGGATTTTAATGAGTTTTAGTTAAAGTCTAGAAGCTTTTTATATATTCTAGATAGTAACTCTTGTTTTTTGAGACAGGGTCTTGCCATGTACTTCAGGTTGGCCTTGAACCCACTGTGTAGCCCAGGCTGGCCTTGAACTCACAGCAGTCCTACTCCCTCAGTCTTCTTAGTGCTGGCATTGCAGGCATGCTCCATCATGCCTAGCATCTATATATTAACTCTATCAGATATATTGTTGGCAAATTATTCCTGTTATTCTATAGGTTGCTTTTTCACTGTTGAGAACACTGTATGTCTTTTGATGCACAGAAGTTTTAAAGTTTGATGTATTGCCATTTGTCTATTTTTTGTTGCCTGTGTTTTTTGGTGTCCTATCTAAAAAATCATCACTAAATCCAATGTCATGAAGCTTCCTGCTATGTTTCCTTTTAGGAGTATTTTAATTACAGGTCTAATGTTTAGTTCTTTAATCCTTCTTGAGTTAATGTTTGTAAATGGTTTACGGGCCCAACTTTATTCTTTTGCAAATGAATATACAAATTTCTTAAAACTGTCCTTTGCTAAGTGATACCATTATCAAAGCTAATTAATCATGTATGTGAGTGTTTTTCCTGAGCTATCTGTTCTATTGGCTTATGCCTATTTTTGCCAGTACCAGCCTTTTAAGATTACTGTGGCTTTGTAATATATTTTGAAATCAGGCAGTATAGCCCTCCACTTTTGTTATTTTTCAACATTATTTGGAGTCTCTTAATAGTCCATATAAATTTTAGGATGAATTTTTCAATTTTTGCAAAAAGTGACACTGGGATTTTTATAGGGATTGCTTTGGGTGCAGATTGCTTTAGGTAATCTGGCCATCTCAAAAGCCCAGTAAATATTTTTGTTTGTATGAATGCACATGGAATGTGATTGTTGTACTGTTCAGATGTGAGGCACTTATATGTTTATTCTGTTGACCATTCCTGTTTTCTCAGCATGCTTAGAAAGAATTCTTTGTGAACTGCATCCTTTCCTCACACCTGTTTCTAGCTTTAGAAATGTCAGCGTTGCTGGGTGTGGTGGTACACGCTTGTAATCCCAGCATGCAGGAGGCTGAAGTAGCAGGATCGCTGAGAGTTCGAGACCAGCCTGGGCTACACAATGAGTTCAAGGCCAGCCTGAAATACATAGCAGAACCCTGGCTCAAAAAGCTCCCCCGCCAAAAAAAAGTCAGCACCACTTCCTGATAAGCTGTGAAAGAGAAATGCTGGTTACTGTGAAGTTGAGAATGCCTAGGGTCAGGATATAAACAGAGAAGTATGTTTGATATATACATTTTTTCTTTCTTTTTAAAATTTATGCATTTATTTATTTTTTTATTCTCTTAACTTGTACTGCATTTTCCATGCAGAAATGTGATAATGGATCATCATGTTTCTACCATCAAACCTCGAAGAATCCAAAACCAGAATGTCATTCACCGGTTGGAACGCCGGCGGATCAGTTCAGGCAAGGCAGGTACCCACTGGCACCAGGTCCGAGTGTTTCACCAGAATGTCTTCCCCAACTTCACAGTTGTCAACGTTGAAAAGCCACCTTGTTTCTTACGCAAATTCTCACCTGATGGGCGCTACTTTATTGCTTTCTCTTCTGACCAGACTTCCCTCGAAATCTATGAGTACCAGGGTTGCCAGGCAGCAGAAGACTTACTACAGGGATATGAGGGGGAGATCCTGTCTAATGGCAATGACCAACGGTCAGTCAACATCCGGGGCCGGCTCTTTGAACGCTTTTTTGTCTTGCTTCACATTACCAATGTTGCAGCCAATGGTGAGCACCTGAACCGGGAGTGTAGCCTCTTCACCGATGACTGCCGCTGTGTCATTGTGGGCTCTGCAGCCTACCTCCCGGATGAGCCTCACCCTCCTTTCTATGAAGTGTATCGAAACAGTGAATCAGTGACCCCAAACCCACGGTCCCCTCTAGAGGACTATTCCCTGCATATCATTGACCTTCACACTGGACGCTTGTGTGATACACGCACATTTAAATGTGATAAAGTGGTCCTGTCACACAACCAAGGGCTGTACTTGTATAAAAACATCCTGGCCATCCTGTCTGTGCAGCAGCAGACCATCCATGTCTTCCAGGTGACCCCTGAAGGCACTTTCATTGACGTGCGGACCATTGGCCGCTTCTGCTATGAGGATGACCTGCTCACTGTGTCGGCTGTCTTCCCCGAGGTACAGCGGGACAGTCAGACAGGCATGGCCAACCCCTTCAGAGATCCGTTCATTAACTCCCTGAAACACCGGCTGCTGGTTTATCTATGGCGCCGGGCAGAACAGGATGGCAGCGCAATGGCCAAGAGGCGTTTCTTCCAGTACTTTGACCAGCTGCGGCAGCTGCGCATGTGGAAAATGCAGCTTCTGGATGAAAACCATCTGTTTATCAAGTATACAAGTGAGGATGTGGTGACACTGCGGGTCACAGATCCGTCTCAGGTATGGAGTGAATTCTGCTCTCTAGACTGTCTATCTCCTTGGAGATGGGAAGATTTCTCTGGGGCCACTAGGCTACTGTCAGGAGTACACATTTGATGTAGTCTAAATTGTTGGTGTCCTAGGGCCCAAACTTAAAATAAGCTTCATTTTTCTCTGACCACGTTCATTGGTCTGGACAGGTGGAAGGCAAATCTCAGGCCCTTGGTGCATAATCAGTCACCTGTGTGACTGTCAACCTTGTTCTTCTTCGGGGCATTCTCAGTACTGTGGAGATGGAAGCCCAGATGCTATAAGGTCAAAGCTTCACTATTTTTGAATAATTCTGCCTTGATTTTACAAGATTCTGCTTACTGAGCTGGCTGCTTGGGTGCTGGCAATGAGAACGAGTGCTCAGAAAACAAAAAAAAAAAGTCCTTTAAAAATCTGTCCCTTTCTGTTCTTAATTTCCCAGTCTGCCTTGGAGGCAAGGCTAGTAAATGTTTGTGTAATTTCATATTCACATAATTATGAGAGATCTTAGTAAAACCATGATATAATTAAACCATGTCTGGGACTATGGAGAGGACATGAGTCAATTTTTATTTAAGCTTGAGCTACAATTACCTTTTTTTTTTTAAACGGAGTAAGTTGTCTGTGATCGCTGCACTTGAGATTATCCCTTTGTCTTTTGCTAACAGATGACCTTTTTTTTCTGGTAGCTACAATTAAGTTTTAGCTAGAAATACTACGAGGGCTCTGTCCTTTAGTCACTGAGTTTGAAACTCTAAACCCAATCTTTCTGCCCCAGTTGGCCTCCTCACTCCTCCCTCAGTTTAATTTGATAGGTTCAAATAAGGTCGATGTGTAAAAAGTGCATCTAAACACAAAGCCTTGGTAACATTATGGGTATTATTCTCAGGTTGCTCTCTGGCCTTTTTAATTTAAAGCCAAATTTAATTTCCAGGTGACCGCAAAAGCTATGAAATAGGAGCTCTGGGAAGGACTAATTACTAATACAACAGGTGGGCCAAAAGGCTCCAGAAATTGGTAATGGAGATTTAAATTCAATCAGAGGAGGGCGAAGTACTAATCCCAGTATTCTGAAAACTTCTAGAGTGCTGTTGAGAGCTTGCAGAATAATTCACACTGCTACATTCACTGTGATAAAGACTAGGGGTTCCTGGGGCTTCCTGCTGGCAGAGTAGAGCATTGGAGGTTTAAAGGAAGAGGGCTGTCACCCCAGGGCCCATTCAGAAAAAGTAGTAACTCTGCCACCTATGGCATCTGAATGCTTTTCACGTTCCCCCTCTGATCTTAATTGCTCTAAATCTCAAATGTATTTTACAAATACTCTGGGCTGAAAGAACATTTATGGAGAGAGAAATGGAAAATGCCTCTCTGATTTTTCATTTGTTCAGCAGCAGTACCCTGCGTGGATACAACTTGCCTGAGCAGTTTTAGCACACAATGTACTTAAGATGTCTCTCTGCATGTTAGAAATATTAAGAGGGAAAAATAAATACCCCTAAATTGAACTTTCAACTGTACACATACAAGAGAAAATCATTTGCCAACAGGCAGCCCCAGGCTGTAAATCACTTTCTCAGCAGGAAAGAAAATTAAATCTGGCATTTTAAGAAAAGTATTTTTTTTTTTTTAAATTTCAGGATGGGTTAGGGAGAAGTATGGAGTAAATGCTTGGAAGGAAAAATATTGAATTTGCACAGTTTGAATTGATGCATTGAAAATCTTTTCATACATATGTGCCGCCCGACTCGGTAATTGTAGCGGATAGAAACAATGGGAAATCTGTCAACACTGAGGCTCTCTATTGATAAAGCCTCTGATGCTTCCTGTCCCAGGGCCACTGGGAGCCGTGCTTCCATCCTGGTTCTAAAGCAGAGGTACTCACTTGTTTTATGTGGGTGGTGTGGATTTTAAGCCAAGTGCTGTTTCCTAAGTATTCTTTACACTTAGCCATTCCTTAACACTTGCTCTTCTTCTGCAGGCATCTTTCTTTGTGGTGTACAATATGGTGACAACTGAGGTGATTGCTGTGTTTGAGAATACGTCAGATGAGCTTTTGGAGCTGTTTGAGAACTTCTGTGATCTATTCCGCAACGCTACGCTGCACAGTGAGGTCCAGTTTCCTTGCTCAGCCTCGAGCAACAATTTTGCAAGGCAGATCCAACGCCGGTAAGCTCTTCTTCCAGGCTTAGCAGTCTTAACGTCTTAAAAAAATTTTTTTAACTTGTTGGGTTTAGCTGTTCCTCCAGTACCCTTTCTCTTCTCCCTGCCTACCTGGCCTTGGTTGGGTCTGCCTGTTACTGTAACCAGCCCGGTTTGTCATCCTGAACTTCTGTCTCTTGACACCTGTGGAATTAAATTGTTTGTGTATTGGATTCCTCCTAGACCATGTGTGAACTGCAGAAAGATACTGTGTCTCTTTATTGGGTTCTAAGGTTAGTCTTTAGTGGTGCGTTATCAAGCACTTAAATATTTGTTGAAAGAATAAGGAAATAATT